GAACTGCAGAACTGCAGTCAGCTGAAATAGCCTGCAGTGTTGCATTTAACCACTGCGCCACCTCGGCATCCTTCGCGGTGAAGCTTACTGAGTGACTTTGGACCTGTCCTACTTTTAAGGTCAATTTCACAATTGTTAATGGTGGGATAAAAAACAAAGAAGGAATGTGATGGATGTGTCCTTAAAGGTGGGATGGAAATGTAACGGGTTATTAATAAAATTCACCTAATTTGGGTGGCTGGATGCAGCTCAGTTGTCCAGAAATTGTATTTCAGAGGTGAATGCTATCAATTGCTAGACGAAAATTATGGGCTCTAACAACCGTAATACATTTTGTGATTTTGCTAGTGGTGGCCACATGGTGACCTTTTCACGAAATCCGAAGACGGCAACACGACAGAAGTTTATGTTTACTTACATTTGCGCCCATATGATGCTTTTGAAAAATACGAGCCTATATTTTTTGTTTTTATTTTTTGTTTCTTATTTTTGAACTTTGCCGGAGTGATGCTGCGATTTAGACCCTCCATTAGTCCCCAAAAATGACATCGTTTTAATGGGTTCTTTTAAAGAAAACAGGCAAGCCAGTCCTTCATAAATAAACTATGTTTGGTTTGGGTTTTGAAAAGGTCGGGGGATTGAAAGCAGATGTGTAGATTGCGCAAAAAGGCCGGCCTTATCTTGTACATTGCCATCTTGTTTATAGGAGCATGCATTGTATCAAAATCTGGAGTGGAGGCTGCCGTAATTTATTCTGTGGTTATCAGTCTGGATTAGGGCACTGTGATAAAGTATGCTGCTTAAGGATGAACATTCCCGCGCCTTTGGGCTGACAAATAAAAATGTATAGCCAGACGCTACTAAATCTATAAGGCTGCTGCTCTAGTTTCTAAAACATTGACTTTGCAGCTGTGTGCTTAGCCTTCTCTTTTTCATGAGCAGTTATCTGTTTTAATGACAGGTGGTCAGTAGCTGCCAAGAAAAAATCCAGCACTGGTAAGTGAAAAAAAATAAATGTTTGATTGCATGCCTAAAATATCAATGCAAATAGCTTATGTGTGCTTTTAGAAAATATATATATATATTCTTTAGAAAATTAACCAAATTCATATAATACTGCATTCCAGCGCATCGTTTTGACTCCGCTTGGCTTATTAAATTGCACCCGTTGCATTGCCTGCGTTATTGCTTTAATTCACCACTATAATCATGCTTTTAAAACCTGCACCTCTTCTAAAAAGGCATTCGGTTGTTCCACATTCTTCCAGCTAGAATAACGACATGAAAAGTCTTTTTTAACAAAAACCTCTGGGAACTTCCAGTTCCAACCATTTATTTTTCCGATTGTTCCAAGAAAATGTAATACTCATGATTGAGTAGTTAAATGGCCTTGAGGGACATCCAGGATGTCTCCATAAGTCCAAGTTCAGATTATCGAGTCTGCTATTTACAAAGGACTTTTCCCCTCCCACTCACTTGAAAGGTGTTTCCAGTTTACCCAATGGCTGTGAAAGTATATCCTTGTTTAAAGCCTTAGATAAACTGAAGATTTTAGAGGAACACTCATCCCTTACAATATTCCTCGGTCTTCTCTTTATCTCTTTTAACGGGTTGCTTTTTAAAAAAATTAATAGAAACAGCTTAAATAAATTAAAAGTTTCATATGGCCATCTAATTGGGAAAGGGGCATTGAAAGGTAAACAGTTGTTTATGCGTTACCTTCCCTCTTTAACACATTCCAAATTATGCAACATCCATGCTGTGTTTGCTTGGATTTTACGGAAGGAACAACGGGAGTTTTCTTGATTATTGTCTGCAGGGTTATTGCAAAAAAATAAAAAAAAAATCATAGCAACTGCCCCCTTTAGTGGAGAGATTAAACTTTTGGTTATACACCATCAAGCATATAATATTTTAAATTTATTTTAAGAGGCTTTTTCTTCATGCCTGAAAGACCTCCGAACAAATAATTTATAGTTCAGACGTATCATATGTTTGGTTTTGATGAGGAGGGGGCTTAGTTTAAATGCACATAAGCTGCCACCAGAGCATAAGGAGGGGAGGGGAGGGAGCGAGGCTCAAGGCCATCTCATGCTCATCATATTCAATTGTGGCCATCGGTTTGTTAAAAAATGGTTTAAAACTAATATGTTGTTCTACTGCTTAAAATTCAGAGGCCGCATTAATTTCCAATAAGATGGATATTATATCGGTGCTGCTGGAATCAAGCTTTTTTTTTTAACACTTTCATTCCCCTGCAGAACCTTAAGCGTGAAATCTGATGTACAGATTTCTCCACAGAGAGCATCACTGCTTTTCATTTTCTTCCTAGCTGATGTTCTGAGATGTTCAGCTGAGCCCCCAAAGAAGAGGGGCTTAATTTTGGGAAGCAATTTCACACATTTCCCCATAATTCACCTCCGCTTCCTATCTCAGTGCAAGACAGTAGCGTCTTGCGTTGAGACCACTAGGCCAACTGTTTCTTCCTTTAGTCTGGTTGTGCTCAATTAGCTAGGCGAGACAGAACGAGAAAGCCCATTCAAGTCTATGTCCCATGAAGAATCCTACAAAGTGGCTGAAATCAAGATCAGGGTTGTCCAACCTTGGCAGCTTTAAGACTTATGGACTTCCAACTTTCAGAATTGGCTGGTGAATTCTGGGAGTTGAAGTTCATAAGTCTTAAAAAGTCGCCAAGGCTGGACACCCCTGATCTAGAGGCTGTATTGCAAGGCTTCTTAAATCTTGACAACCTTAAGATGTCATGGGCGCCTTCAACTCCCAGAATTTCCCAGCCAGCACTTGGAATTGTGGGAGTTGAAGTCCACAAGTTGAGAAACATCAGCTAGTTATGAAGTGGAACCTGTGGCACTTCCAATAAAACTGTGCAATCAAATGGAAGGGAATGGGCTCCCTTTTCTGCTTTTCAAGCTGATGGCTGTGCAGACAAGAGAAGCATTATGTAGAAGGTGCCTTTAAGCTTCTTCTTTTTTTTAAATTCTGCCATTTAAAAAACAACCGATCATGCATGGTACCCATCCTTAGGAAGTCCCAAATGACTTTCTAACAGCACAATCCTATCTGAGTCCACGTGGAATTGAATTAAATAGGCTCCCGATGAGTGTCTGATTGTATCTAATGCATATTGTTAAAAAAAAAAAAGCCAAAACATTCATCTCTAGAATTAACTGTCTTTTTAGAAATAGTTTTTCAAGCTTGGAGATGGAATTCCTTTCATTACAGCTAGTCCTGGACTTACAACCATTCAATTAATCACCGTTTAAAGTTACAATGACATTGAAAAAAGTGACTTATGACTGTTAGAGCATCCCATGGTCACATGATTAAAAACTGAACNTATTTATAAATGTGTACATTTTAGATAACTCTTTAGAAGGGAAAGATACATATAAATCAAGCATCTCTCTTAATCGTATTTGTCCTAAGTGTTTAGTTTTTATGATAATGGACTTAAGATGATAGAATGATTATCTATAGCTCTTCATGGGCTTAAAACATGTAATTTTAGGGAATTTGATAAACAGAGTAATATTACTTGGTTTTCTTTCTTCTTAAACTGAAAAAAACACCACCTGCAACCACAGTGGCAATTCCAATATATTAGTCTTATATAAATCTCACTGTGATCAGATTTTTTTCTTCATCAAAGCGGTTTTTATTGGTTGGTTGGTTGCTTTCTTTATGTAATAGAAGCAGGTACATTTACACTGAACACATGCATAAGATATATTTGCACCCAATTTTCAGCTCTCAGAAGAGGACCCTCCTGGTTCCTTCTTCTGTAAACAAGTTTTGGTAGCTTTAGAATCTGAGCTGGATGGTTTCCCAGCTTTTGAAAAAGCTCTTCAGAGACACTTTTGAGAATTAAAATGACAGGAGAGAAACGTATAGAATGTGAGAAATCTCTTTATGTACACAAGCTCTACCCTTAACTCTTCCACTGTTTCTCTTTCACTCTTTCCTAGTTGTCAGGCAGTTTAAAACTAAAACCAAGTGCTCTTTCTCAAATTGGTTCTTTTTCAAATCTAGATCAGTGTATTTTTAAACTTTCAAGAAGTTCACACATCTTAAAATTGGGGAAAAAAAACATTCATGATTCATTGGAGTTGTAACTTGTAACATTCCCAATCCTCAAAGCGTAGATGCTTAATTTGAAAAATAAAAATAAAAAGTAGTGGTTAAAGGTTTGGGATTATGAGTCCCTACTCATAATCCCAAACCTTTAACCACTACTTTTAATTTTTTTTTAAAGACTCAGCAATAGCAATAGCAATAGCAGTTAGACTTATATACCGCTTCATAGGGCTTTCAGCCCTCTCTAAGCGGTTTACAGAGTCAGCATATCGCC